GCAGGGTTAAACTTCCAAGGGAGAATAAGATCGCTTTTCTGAGCGTGTTATCACCCGAGAGTAATTCTTCAAGTGACGAGACCAAAAGACAACGCCACGCATCAATGGCAAGGAGTACTCTCTATGGTATCGAACGATTGCAAGTATGCTCAGCGCCAAGTTATACACGCCAACTGATCAATCATGAGCAAGCGGGTACAAGTGCAGCAGTTATTACTTCGAAGTAGGTTTGAAGTCAAATCATACTATCGAGCACATTGCGCGCAGAAAGACCTAGAAAGCGTTCTCGTCCTCGTCGATTTCATCTTCATCGATACCGTATTCATTTTCATAGCGAACGTATACCTCCCTTAGCGCGTGAGGGTTCGCAAGCGCGAAAATGTCGGAAAGAACTCGCCGATCGAGCGACTTGCACACTATGTGTCCCACACCACTAGAGGGAATAGCTTTCGCTCGTCAAGGTTCTTGCACTCTTCAAGCAATCCAGTGACATTCATGTTGGGGCTCGCGGTGGGCGAGTACAAGCGCGCCACCGACTTCTTCCTGGATTGGCTGCGGCGTGCAGGTGGTGACAACCATCATGCCGGCAAGCGAGTGCAGGCGATCAACGACGTGGTGAAGGAGATCGCAAGTGATCCGTCGACGCTCACCCCCGAACTACTTGAAGAGTTACACACGGCTCTCGATGCTTGCCAATACTCTATCATGTTGAGAGAATGTGTGGCCGCGGTTTACCCAGAAGAGGACGAGCGCCAAGTGGGCCACCAGCATTTTCTGAAATCACTGCGAAGATGGTATTCAATGCTTCAAGGGATTGAAGTGGGGATTCCTCCAGAGCTCGACGATGACGAGGACCATTGGGGATACCAACGTTTCTTAAACTTACTACAGAACCGGCATTCTACAGCTCGAGAAGTGAAAGTAAAGACACATCCGAAGTGGGTGAACATGCAGTTGGAGAACTCGAATTGTTATGAAGTCCTGCATGGTGATGTGGACTATATTTCAGACGAGGAGGACTTTGCTGCGGAGAAAGGGACTTCGAAGACTGCCGATGTGAAAAGAGAGCGGCTTTTTGGGAAGGCCTTTGCGGTGAAGAAAGGGGCCTCAAAAACAGTCAAGGTGAACAGAAAGCGTGTATTGAAGAAGACCATTGCGAACGAGCCGAGTGTGATTTTGGGGCATGGTCAACATATTCCACCGGGTTCTGATTTCCGCGGAATAAAGACATTCAGCGAATTGACAATTTCGCTGAAATTGCTGCTGGACACGATGGTTACGACCCATTATCCGGTAAACTGCACTGCAAATAGTAGTCTACAGAAGTGGATTGGAGACTTGTGGGCAGGCCATCTTGGGAGATTACCTCGTTTTCATGCGCTCATCGCTCTCGTTCTAATGTTTCTTCTGCTGAGTGAGCGATTAGTCCACGTGTGCTACTCCTAGGAACCAAAGCTGTACCGGTAAAGACCGCATGCTTATACCTGCGCCTACTACATGCCGCCGCGGCTGATGTCGACAAGACGTCTGAGTTAACTGTAAAGAGATCCGGGGAGTATAGTTCGACGCAAGTCAACATCGCTTTTTACCAACTGGAAGACCCCAGTGTTTCTGCCGCTCATCAAATTGACACAGTGGAAAACATTTGCAAAAATGTTAAATGAGATTCGGTGGCTTGCTTCAATACGTGCAGATCCTATATCTTGTCATATTCTATCTCACTGAAACTTCTATTAGGGGGGGTCGAACCTTCAAAAATAATCCAAATTTGTGAGCATAACCGTGTCGTGATTGTGATGTGGTTGTTGATCGAAAAGTGGGAGTCGATCTAGAGCA